ATGCATTTTATGTGCTGTGAAGAGAGTGACTGATCATAATAAGGGGCACAAGTAGTTACCAATGATGTGGTCAATGACTTCATCAATTCTTATTGTCATGAAATCATATTTTTATTGTCCATCAGTTGGACTATACTGTACTGTACTGTAGACTGCATTCTAAGGGATACAGTAATAGATAGTGAATCCTAATGTCTATATTTGTCTCAATGCTAATGTGATGTCTGCACCACCGATCCATTGGGTCCATTTGCGAGACAGTCACCACAACATCCATATCCATGCCATAAGTAATAGTAATTATCGTGCCATTTTGTCCCAAATAGCGGTGCAAAGGGGTCGCGTCCCTCCCACCCACGGACACGCACTGCCCGGACAGATGGCCCTGACGAACGGCGACTCCCTTAACGGACACTCATATCTATCAAGTTTTATATCATTGCTCTTAAGAGCAGAACCATATCCGCCATCGCGTTATTCCCAATGCATGCAACCCAACAATATTATGGGAATCGACAATATGTGCGAATTGGCCGCAAGACTACTCTTCAGTGCCGTCGAGTGGGCCAGAAATATACCCTTCTTTCCCGACCTCCAAGTCACCGATCAGGTGGCCCTGCTCAGACTTGTGTGGAGTGAACTCTTTGTGTTGAATGCCTCCCAGTGCTCAATGCCATTACATGTCGCACCACTACTCGCCGCTGCCGGACTTCACGCCAGGTTTGCCACCAATACTTATTATGACACTTATCACTGCACTGTAGACTAACTTATACTGTACTGTATTATACACTTTGCTATTTCAATGCATACATTAATCCCTTATACAAACAATGATTATTTAATTCAATAATAACTTCTAAATCCGTTGCAGTCCTATGGCCGCCGACCGAGTGGTGGCTTTCATGGATCACATCAGGATCTTTCAGGTAAAGTGCTTTCATTTGTTCAATATTTACAATAAGTTTTGTACAACTTTTACAGTCAATCTTTGCCATTACTAGTATTGCGACACAATTGATAAATTATGTTTTAAACATTTTTCATAATATATTATTTAAGAATTGAAAGTGAATTAGTAATGATGATCACTAATGAGATATTATATGTGTTTTATGAACATCAGGAACAGGTAGAGAAGTTGAAAGCCTTGCACGTCGATGCGGCCGAGTATAGCTGTCTGAAGGCCATTGTGCTCTTCACTACAGGTAAACCTAACCATTCTTTATGTATTTCTATTGATTTTCACTTATACTAAGATCAAGGCTTTGATTTAATTAACAAATTCCTATTCAATCAGATATTTTTTATTTTTAAAAAAGTTTTAAGAAATTTGTTTATTTTTAACAAAATTATGAATACTGTATTGTACTGTATATTCGTAAAGGTTGCTATTATTATAAACTTCTAATGAGTGGTGTTTTTAAAAATAATAATATCAGATTTAACTAATTTTATTCTGAAATATTATGCAAATAATTTAAGCTCCAGTATTAATTAAGTGTACTATACAGATATTTAAATATATTAAAGTAAAACAATGTAAAATTAAATTCACTGATTAACCTGTTTAATTAAAACTGTTTACAATGATATTGAATATGAAATTTAAAATGACATTTGAAAGGAACTGTTAAATCAGTTCATTATTCACTAATTATTTCGTTGAACTCATGTTAATACAGTAAACTGTTTATAGAATTGCAGAATTTATTTAGCAAATGAGATTTTGTGCAAAAATAACAAAGTATTTAAAAAGTTTTTCTTATTTTTTGGTGAAATATTTCCCACGTTTTGCGCGGAGAATGTGAAGTGAGCTGTGGTTTGATGTGAAGATGAGGTTAAGATCTATTTAAAGAAAGCTATCATTCATTGCTTATAACAGACAGCATTCACTTCATATAAATATGACTGCATTTACAAAAACCATCTCAATTTATGTGTCGATTGAAAAATATTTCAATGAATTGAATACTGAGTTGACATTCATTTGTTTCTTTCGGTTCAGGCATTCATTCGTTTATTACTTTCTCTCTCTTTTCCATTAATCTATGCTTTGGTTTATAATACGGTTACTAAAAGTCTATCAAACAATATATTCGCCGCATAACCACTAAATCTAAAATATAGTCTGTTATCTGTTATCTTCAAATGTCTCCCCTTCTCGCAGTTATTTAGACTGTTTTGTAGGGGTTGTCGGGGATGTAGGGCTGGTTCAGTGGGTTTGAATCCCTCCTAATTCTAACTCTAATTCATTGTCTTTGTTCTAAACCGTGAATATGTTTTATATTCGCCGCACATATACTTGTTGTGAGGATTTAAGTCTTAACTCACAAAACATTTGTTTTTTCAAAACATCACATGAAACTCAAATACAGTAAATGTTTTTATGTAAATATATTTTTATAATCTCTAATTTGTTGTAACTTTTTATTTATTAATTCCAATTATAACAATTTATGTGATTTTTAATTTATCGATAGTTTTAAATATTATTAATCTGATTAGAAGTTAAAACTTGAAATAATTTTATCAATAGTTAATTTAGGGAATTTTGTTTTTATTTTAATAATTTATCAAGTATTTTTTATTGTAATACAAATCTACTAGTTTTCATGTAATTCAGTAGACTTTTGAACCATAATTTCAATTCATTGTACTTTTAAAAGAAGTCATCTATGATTTGACGCAATAATACACTCATCTGATCATATGAGAAGATCTCTCTCTCTCTCTCTCCTAACATTGAAAAATGATTTTATTTATTCGCTTATAATATAAGCCTTATATCATATTCTTTATGCGAGACGTGATGTAAGCAAAGCATCAAAAGAAAACTTGTATTCGTTGTTGTGTTCAGAATTGACTACTCGTTTGCCACTCTTTGGCCTCATGTCTGACCTTCAATGTAAGGGCTCCTCCACTAACAGCCCAATGCGTGCACCCATTATAACACAACAACTATACACTAAACTTATATTATTTTACTTTCTCTAAAGAGTAGCACAAAAAGAGACAAGTTTAACTCAAGTTTTAACAACACTAAACATATTTGAACAGATATTTCTAACAAATTCATAACACTTTTTGAATTGAAACTCGCTTTGAATGATTTTTTATTGATTCGTTATTTTCGTCACAAATTAATTTGCATAAATCATTGAATCATATTCTAAATTAATAGCGTTTAATACAATTTTTTGCAATATTTGGTTATAATTAAAATTTTATTACTTTTATATTAACTCCCAAATGATAAAAATAGTTTAATAGTGGAGTAAAAAGAGGTTTTGTTTTATATTGAGATCAGGTGTTCAAACAATAAATTTGGAAAAGCTATGAGTCTTTGTGTTTGTTCATGCAATCAGTTTTTTGCACAGGGATTCACGGGCCAGTTGTTCAACAGGCGAAACTGATAGCCAACCGTGAAAATGGTCTTTTAAATGTGACAGTCCCAGCACCGCTTAATATAGAAATATTGCCAATACCAATGTTAGCATTCATTGAAATCACTGTAGTCCATACATTTTATGACTTATAAATATTTCAATAATTACCAATTAACTCATATCAGTTCACTATTGTGTAGCTTTACTATAAAATGCTTTTATATTGTGTGGAATAGGGTTCTATACCATTTTAATGGTTAGTACAGTAGTATTTAAAAACTTTAAATTCATTGAATAACTATTTTTTAGTAATTTATCACAGTTACTACACAGTAAAGTTAAATAATTTTTAATACACACTAAAATAAATGACCATTAAGATGTTTTCTAATGTAAAAATTTAATTTCTTTACTATTATACTTCTTTTTAAAAATAGATTAAAGTGCTTGGTGAATTTTATTTAAATTTAATTTTTCAATTAGAATTGTATTTGAAACAAAACTGTTTGAATTAATTTGGTGGGGTCACAACTATGTGAGTTTTGTGAGTAGTTCTAGACTTTTAGAAAATTAATTTAAATGTTTGATAGAACGTAAGGAAAGGCTAAATAAAGTGTTATATTTGAATGAATTGAAAGGAGAGTTGAGTTAAGTTTTTGTCTGATTTGTGTTGTCGTGCGTTCAGAAGGCGTTACTCTAAAAGACAAAGTCTTTGTCCTTTTTTTTAACGCAAAGACTATCTAAAAATTGCTCACAAGTCAGACAATTGTAGTGTTGGGATTGGGTTTGAGGTTGAGGTTGACCAACATAATGGTGATTCGCTTAGATAATAGTGCAAACAGTCAACTGCTTTACTGTTAACTAGAATTCTGTTTTATAGTCTCATAGATAGTGAATGAGACAGAGATTCGTGAGAAGTCATAATCAATAGCGAAAAAATACAACAAAAAATTTTGATGAATACGAAAATGAAAACACATATGAGTTGTGTATTATTTATAAATATATCCCGGATTTTATTAAAGGAAACAGCAGTCGTCGAGCACATTGTGATGCAATTTTCCAAAATAATATCCAATTATTTCTAAATAATTTTCAAACCAAAATATTTATTTTAAACATTACTGTGTAATGCATTTGAAATCTATGCAGGAATTGGTTTCAAAACAAAATAATGTTAAATTAGATAAACTTAAATATTTCAAAACTTACAAACAAATAGAAAATTAAATAACTTTTTACAAACAAATATCTGGATAATAATCAATAATTGTGTTATACTATATTCTTGTTTAAAATAATTTATAATACAAAAACATAAAAGTCAGTAAATATTGAACACATTTTTTATTCATTTGTTAAGAAAACGTATGATTTATTGTTAATATTTCATAAAAGCCTAACAGAAGCTGCAAAATGTTTGGCTCCGGGCTCTTTACCAAAACCATTATTACATACAAAAACTCTTGAGACGAAGTGAACCACAGTTTAAATGCCGAAAGATATGAAACTTTATAATAAGTGTTAGAGTCTGTTAGGGTTGACCTGTCATCACAACCCATCACACTTTTCTCTACACATTATGCCATGTATTATGCAATCAATTGCCACAAATTAAAGTAAATTCTTACCATTTATAGTAAAGTATTTTATAATTATTTATAGCTTCTAATATAATATTAAATTGTGAAACTATTTTTTTTAGTTCAGTTCAAATGTTTTTTATATTTCTGGTCTAAATCTATGTTAATATATCGGCAATTCAATTACTGATACATAACTTTTATGACTGCACTGTATAGCGAAATGAACTCTTGTGTTATATTATGAGCTATTTTTCAGCCATATTTTCAGTGTTTAGTGTCCTTTGATCTCCTCATCAGCACTGATCCCAGTCTGCACTCTGTTCTCAATAACGATCGATTCAAATGCATGGCTAATGACATGTGCCTTCAAACCTCATACACTCAGTCAATATATACAAAGTGTGTGTT